GCAATCTAACTCGAAAACTAATAAAAATATAATACTAAATGAAACGCTTATCATAACCGAAACATCAGACCAACTCCGTGAGTTTTCTTGCAGACTTTATAGCGTAATAATAAAAAAGTTGTTTAGCAAACTATCATTAAAATATTTACATAGTTCACTATTTGTTACGAGGGAGGAGTGCAAAGAGAGGAACAGCCAGGTGTGCGAGAAAGGAGACAGCACAACACGGTGTACTGCCATTACGCAGACAGCCAGTTCGCAGACACCTTAAAACAACAACATTTACGGTTCAGTGAACAGATTATCTACTATCTGTTACCTACACATTATAATGGAATAGTCCAAATAAAAACTCAGGAACAAACTGAAGCTATATTATTTATTTGGAAAGATGGACGAAAAGACGTTAATTTGAATTTTTATTGCTGCAATATGAAAACAGTTTATTTTCATAAACATTTCGGTTTAACCTTCTAGTCTAACGGGAGTCGGCATCATCATATTGAAAACATTAGCTTAGCTATTAGAAATTGCGACACTGTTGTATCATATAAATCTAATACAGACAAATGTGAACTTAAATATTTTTCATATAGAATAAAAAAGTTATATGTTTTGCACACAATATTAAGATATATGACGATTGCACTTAATTACGATTTATTTAGAATAAATATTTAAAATATGACGCATCATGTCAATGTGGCCATGGGTGTGAGAATGTTTTTCATTACTTCCTTGAGAGAAATGTTTTCACACTTACTGTGTTTTTAACGATGTATGCAGCGCCGTTGCACCCCCTGAAGCCCTTCCTTTCAAAATTCCTGGATCCGCCCATGAGTAGATACGCCCTTTTTTGCTGTCAATTCTTAGATATAGTAATTTTAGGCCTTCATTCACAGTTTAGACTTAAATGCGTCAGTATTTATTCAGTTATCGTCGAAAAATAAAACTGTACATTTTATATGGAGTTGCTCGCATTTAGCAAACAAACTGTCCATTGCGTTGTGATTTTACTGTCCAGGAGTTGACAGTTTGTAGTTTTAACCGTCATGTCATCTAACGTTATTCTAGAGATATTTGTTGTGAACAAGAATGTTTTGTTGTAGACCTGGCCTATTTATTACGATTTTGTATCATCAAGTACGATTGTACACCCATATTACAGTTTGTTCGACAGGGATTTAATGTAAAAAACCCATGTACGATCAGAAGTGTATTAACAAATATACAAATACATATCTACCCCAGGAATAACCAAGTCCTGGGCCCCGTTTCACAAAGCTCACGTAAGCCTAAAATCTCGTAACTTTTCTCGTAGCATACGTACTTACTATACTGTAAAAATGAATTACGATAGTTGTAGCGCTACGAGAACTTTGTGAAACGGGGCCAAGGCTGTCCCAAAGTATGTACATTGTTCATACTATCATTCAGATATTAGTATTGTACATTTGGGTAAAGCACACCACTAAGCATCTGAAAACCAAGGGACATATAACCAGTGCTGAATGTGCGAAATCAAATACAATAATGACCTTCTTTGTTCCCACCGTTGGCACCAGCGATATGGACAAGTCAATGGCCGTTGTTAAAACAAATGAAATCCAAATGACACAAGAAGAGCAGCAGCCAGACCAGCTACAACTCCTACCACAAAGGGCCAGGAGAGCTGCAGCCAGACCAGCTACAACTCCTACCACAAAGGGCCAGGAGAGCTGCAGCCAGACCAGCTACAACTCCTACCACAAAGGGCCAGGAGAGCTGCAGCCAGACCAGCTACAACTCCTACCACAAGGGCCAGGACCAGCTACAACTGCAGGAGAGCTGCAGGCCAGCTACAACTGGGTGACCAGGGGCCAGGAGAGCTGCAGTCAGACCAGATACAACTCCTACCACAAAGGGCCAGGAGAGCTGCAGTCAGACCAGATACAACTCCTACCACAAAGGGCCAGGAGAGCTGCAGTCAGAGGGCCAGGAGAGCTGCAGTCAGACCAGATACAACTCCTACCATAACAGTTTGGACAGTTCTCTGCAGCCTCCAGCTAGACACCCATTTTAGGCTGGAGGATCCAAGACCAGTAGCGTTCCAAAACTACACCAAGGTTAACACCCACAGCTCTTCGATGAAATCCTGCAGATGATGGCCCCAGCAATCGATAGGGAGGCTGGAGGGTCCACCCAGTTTCCAGGCAACCACCACAGCTCTTCGATGAAATCACCTGGACTGAAACTGGCAGTCACCTGGACTTATGCACCTTCAGGCTGGAGACAACTATGGGTCCCTTGCGTATGCCTTCAGGTGTGGAGTGTCCACCACCTCAGAGATGGTCCCAGAAGTGTGACAGGCAATTGTGTTTAGCCTACCTGTGACCCCAGAAGCCTGGACAGCCGTAGCTAACCAGTTTGAACAGAGATGGATATATCCCACGCCATTGGAGCCCTGGATGGCGAACACATCTTGCACCGTCCATTCAATATAATGTACATATTTCTTAACTCTTTTCTTTTTGACGAGTCTACACATCTAATTAAACATCTTTGATAGAATGGTTTAGTTTCACTGAGAAAATATCCTAAAACATGTAAAACTATTTAGATTTGCGGCCCTTTGTTTATATAGGTTGTACGGTTCCACGTGCTGTCATCGAAGCAGACGGAGAACAAACAATGCAGCCAATTTGATATTTAAATATGTACTGTCATAAACCTTACTGTCGCAGTTGTGGATGAATATATATGTAACAATGTAAAACATTGTGAAGAGCGCGCCGAAAAGCTTGCGTAAGGCCAGTCTCTTCTTTTATGACTATGCGCGTTTGTTTACAAACAAGAGAAAAGTCCGGTCACATGATATGCAAATCAGCCTGTGGCAGTGATGTTATGCTAAGTCATCACTGCGCCGGAGTGTGATGGATGTCATGTGTTGTTCCGGGAGTGCAAACGAACGGCGGATAGCCGTAGGACACTATATCCCCCGCCGCGCGTTTAGCGGGAAGCGGGGGATATAGTATTAGGCTCCGTCCGTCCGTCCGTCCGTAATCATTTTGTTTCCAGAGCATAACTCAAAAACAGTTCAATATTTTTCAACAAAACTTGGTAGATATATCAAACAGAACCTAAGGTGGTGCCTTTTGCTATTTACGGATTTTTGTCATTTTTATTTTTCTCGGTTTCCATGGAAACGTTTTGGACTTAGTCTTAAAGGGGGGTGGGTTTCGTTTCCGGAGCATAACTCAAGAACCGTTCAATATTTTTCAACAAAACTTGGTAGATATATCAAACAGAACCTTAAGTGGTGCCTTTTGCTATTTACAGACTTTCGTGATTTATTATTTTCTCGGTTTCCATGGAAACAATTCGGACTTAGTCTCAAAAGGGAGGGGTGGACTTCGTTTCCGGAGCACAACTCGAAAACTTCTTAATATCTTTCAGCAAAACTTGGCAGATATGTGAGGCAGATCCCAAAGTGGTGCCTTTGGCTATTTGCAGATTTTGGGCATTTATATTTTTCTCGGTTTCCATGGAAATGATTCGGACATAGTCTCAAAAGAGAGGGATGAGCTTCGTTTCCGGAGCACAACTCGGAAACCGTTCAATATATTTCTTTTTTCACCCAACTTGGCACATAGATAGGTCTGGTGATGAACTGGTGCCTTTTGGTAGTTTTGGATTGCTGATTATTATATTTTTTACGTTTCCATGGCAACAAAATTGACTTGGAAATTGGTGTTGGTGCTCTTTTCCGAGCTTTAAAACCGTTTAAAATTTCTTCACCAAACTTGGCAGATTGTTAGGTCTGGTGGTGAACTGGTGCCTTTTGGTAGATTTGAATTTCTAATTATAATTTTTTGCATTTCCATGGCAACAAGTTAGACTTTGACTGAAATTGGTGTTGGTGCTCCTTTGTGGAGCAGATCTTAAAAACCTTTCAATACTCTCCTTCCTCTTTGCCATATACACACCAAAATATTTAACATAATCATAACTTGTTTTAATTATGTTTGTTTTTGTACAAAGTAAACTGCATGTCATGTACAAAATCAATGACCCCCTTCCCCCTTCCCATATTTTTAAAGCAAAGGTTTTAAATAGTTTTATGCACAAAATTGCTGAAACATCCCCCTCCCCGAAACGTGTATGTACAAATTGGTGACCCCCAGAACAAAATGGGTGCCCCCCCAAAGTCTTCATCATCATCACACACACACACACACAAAAATAAATAATTATGAACGATCCCGAAGACAAAAGCGTGTCCTAAATATGGGATCACGAAGTTCGATCTTTGAGAATATCTAAAGTATAAGACCAAATCTGATCAAACGTTTTGAGACTGTCCTGAGTAGACAGAAGACAAAATTTGTACCAGTGATGAGAGGACAACCGGAAGTGACGCAGGTCATATAAGTTTACCACTTTGGTGAAACCAACAGCATTGGTGCTGACAAACCTGGAAACAAAACCAGCATGAAACTGGGTAACTCGAACAAACGAGCATAGACTCCTGACATGCCCAAGGTAGGTAACTCTCCACAGTGAACTGAGGCACAAATCATGTCAGGGAACCTGATGTGGCCACTTTACGGTGATGTAAACCACGGAAGTCACAGTTCTATGACAATGTTGATCCACAATTTTAACCAGCAGATCCTGTTTAGCTGAAGGGATGCAACTCTGCACACTGATTTGTGGTGAGAGATAGCAACTCACTTCTCTGTGTTCATGTGTTAGGCTTGCAACGCTGCATAGCTTCACTAGAGTGGGTTGTGCCCCACTGAACATGGTTTTGCTTTCATCAAAATGTGAGTCATCTGAAGAAAAACTGGGATTAAAGTTTGACCCCTTTCTGTGAATTCCACAGTGCACCAAGAAATGGTATCAGCCATTCCAGGATTCAAACCTACAATAATAGGGTAGTGGTTAACCTAGGGTAGTGGTTAACCTAGGGTAGTGGTTAACCTAAGGGAAACAACTCATCAAAAGCATAAGAACATAGATTTTCTTTGAAATGAATTTTATTCTAAAATAATGGTATGAAGTTGTTAAATACAAGCTTGGTGGATAGTGAAACATATCGTGGTGTCAGATTTCACAGTTGAACACATTTCTTTCAGATGATAAGCCACACATGTAGTGAGACATAGTCAACAATTTAAACAGAAATATGTCATCAAATTAACAAACACATGAGAACCATCTTCCCAAACAGAATGAAAATTGCTGGCAGTTTCAACAGGCGTGATTTCTAAACTGGGAAAGTAAATGCAAATTTGTGTAATGCTACTACTTTGGATGATTTTACACAATTACAAATGTTTTGTATGGAACGATGAATTTGGCAGTTAATACTGATGAACAAACCTGTGACAAGTGTTACAACTGCAAGAATAATGAACGAATACTAGGCAAGCAATTTGTTCACAAATGGCAGCGAGATAATTTGATCTCTAACATCCTTGCAACAATATAATGCAATTCAGATTCAATATCTTTTTAGAAATCTGGAAAATCCAGATCAAATGTTTGATAAATGTTGACAAAAACTCCCAAATGTTTGGGAGAAATGTTATATTTGATGACATATTTACTTCATGCTAACTGTAAGATGCAAGCCCCTTGGACCAAAGCTTGCCTCCTGGCACCAGTCTTAAAGTCCCTGACCCTGGATAGCAATTTCTGTTAAAACATGTACAAGGCAAACGACATTTTGATTTACGCTTTCTCAACATTTTCCGCCAACTAGGTAATGTTAGCATTACCATGGCAATAGGCAAGTACCCAACAGGCTCGCATCAGATGAACAGCATGAACAGTGTGCCAACAGAAGGGGCGAGGTGAACATTAACAATGGCCTAGTATTTCTGGAGTTGCACTGTAAAACCTTAACGAAATCATTATCTACCTCCAAAACCATATCACACAAAATTGTTAACTTTAACAATCCTTTAAGTATATCAATCAATGGATCTTGAAACAGCACTCCGGAAAAAAATACAATATAAAATGTTTTACATTTTTCTCTGCTTTGACATTATTAAAAACGTTCAAACACAAACTGGAAATCTAAAAATCCAAATTATCTATCAAACGAATCTCTAAAACAAAACCCCCAATATATTGATAAATAAATACCCCTTGTGTTGGCAGGCCAAGCAAACCATTATTGCTGAGATGTCACTAAGTAAACACATCACTCATAAATAATGTAGAAAATATTAAATAGATGTATTCTAATGATGTACAGGACGCTCCAGCTTTCAACACTTCCAACACTATATACACGACACTCAGTTTATCAAACAAACCACCATGGTTATCTCCCCTTACATGTGACACTGAAAGCGGAAACATCTTCTAGCTTTAGAGATGGGAAATGAATGAATACCAAACATCCTAGAAAGGTTAGAGACTGAACCACTTTTAACCATTCTGCAGCAGATCTGAGAATTGGGGGTGGGGGTGTCTTAAGGGGATGCTGCTTCATACACTGACTACAGACATCTTGGGGAATCCACCACTACCACAACAAGCTGACAGTGTACATTTCTCAAACAAAGTCCTCAACAACATAAAGCTGTTCCCTTTCAAGTCGACTTCACTGAATATTGTAAAATATCTCAGGTCATGAAAATCACCATTCATGTAAGGGGAGCTAACTCATGAAAACCAATGGCCACCATTCTGGAGTTGCCTCCCTTCCAGCACTTAAAACGCTGCTTGTAACAGGCTCTGTAAAATACTACATTTTTTGTACACAATAAACAGAACAACCCCAGAACACATCACACACAGCAACATGTCTTGTCTTTGAAATTCTTGACATTGCACATTCTAATGTTGTTTTAAAAACATGTTTCCCCAAAGAAAAAGACCTAACTGTTTTTCGTATATTAGTTAGAAAATGCACCAATGCAGTCACATTTTAATATGAAACATTTTACTATTAACTATATTTTCACAAATGACACATTTAACCTATGATGAACACATGCTTTATGATTGGAAAGGTATTGAAGAACAATGAACAACAAAATTTAAGTATCGCACCGTTGGAAATCTATCTTTCAGAAATCCAATTAACAAAATAATAAACATCTCACACATTGAAAATAGTCATTATGCATATACTGTTTTCCTTTCAACTACTGTCATGAACAACTGAGAAGGCTGACTTCAACTGTCTTCTCTATGAACACTTTTCAACACAGAGCGTTCCGCTCAAATTATGCACAAACCCACATGAAAATGACATGAAAATGTGACCATTCTGAACCAACACTTGATAAATACATTAGAATTGTTTAAAAAATCTATCAGTGACAATATGCCATTATCAGGAAACAAAGAAATTAAGCAGCACATCAAACCATTTCTCTTGAATAGCAAACTTAAAATAGCTGGTCGCATGGACAAAATATCTACACATTTCAATCAAATCTGAATACATTAATGCACTAGATATGCCATTAAACTCAACATAGATCCTCTCCTTTCAGCTATTATTTTATTGAATCTATGCAAAGAAAACAATACTTCAGTGGTGGCTAGTATAAAAGAAGCTCCCCAAAATCACGACAAAAATAAAACTATTTAAAACCTGTCAGACTACATTTACAAGCATAAATATATACGGTCATTTCCAAAATAGTCCCTTTGGAAATATTTTCCTTGCATATTAGTCTTATCGAAGATAGTATTAACAAGTGTTTGTTCTCTAAACAATGAGTATGACAGGGTGACCCTCCAGGACACCCACGTATTTACATCAGAAACATACCATTCTGTTTACTCTCAGACTCAGAAATTAAGTGATACATTTGGATTGTTTTAGCTTACAAATCATCGAAAACTTTACGACAAAGCAATAGGAAACACTTGTTTTGGTTTCACATGAAAGTGGATTATCGCCTTGTTAAACAGTACCTCTCAGATTATCATAGATTTGGTATGTCCCTTGAGAGTGCAAGAAATGGAATGTTAAGGCGTATGAATGAACTAGTATACAATATTGATGTTAGGGACTAAGCCTTCCAAACTTATTTCTTTCAGCATTTTGCAAACTGTGTTAAGAGGCAGTTTGTCCCTAAAACCAAGATTGAGTTTGAAAACATGACAGTCTCCTTTTGAGCTACTATACAATGCTGTTCTCTACAATGAAATATATGTCTTCAAGACAACATAACAGAAAAATCTTACCAACATAAATTAACAGCCATTACAAAATGGACGGAGCGCTAGACATTTGGATTTGAGTTGGAGTTACCTCCCCTGAACAATGCCATCCTGCAGTGCATACAGAAGACGCCAGACAAACCTGAGGATTCCACCATGAATTAAATTTATTCAACCATTTCTTTTTTTGTAACCATTCTGGTTAGATGAGACATCAAGTGCTACAAGCTGTTCTGGCTACTGACCTTCCGAAACAACATTGACTTCCTATCCAACAAAATAAGGCTTACAATGGCCATGGTATTTACTGTTAACATTGGTCTGGCATGTTTCAACAATAGCGATGTTACCTGAGTTTCAGATAATCTTATATTGTACATATGTATTGGCCCAAATGCTAATATTGACCTCCACTTCATCATCGGACTAGCAAATCAAATTAACTATAATTTCAATTTTCAGAACACAAATTTCAGTCTCGATGTTAAACATGGTAACAATCATTAGAAGGTTAGTTAAAGGATTTGTCCGATGTGTAACAAACACACTATGAATGAATAGTTGAGTCCATCTTCATAAGACGATTGGGTAAAAACACACAGAAAACATCAACACGGGAATAAACTGGAATGTATAAATGTAATATTTAATGATAAGCACACTTCGTTCAACGATTGCCACACAAACTGGAAGATGTCTATATCAGCAGTGATAAACATGATCAATTAGCCATAACGAAAGGTAAATGCACTTTATAAAATTTGTTTGCACCTTTAGAATTGTTCTTGTGAAAGCCACATGTTCTTTCATTCTGGCTTTTCCGTTCTCAACTTCTTGACATCGTCCTTGGTGAGTGATATTGTGTGTTTGAATGTGTAGCGTGTGACTTCATAGTATCCCGGACAGTATGCGCTGTTCTGTGAGATGCTGGGCTGGGATGAGAGGCTGATCGTGGATGTGCTACTGGCATTGCGTGCGAGCGACTGGGAGACTTCAGATGTGTAGGCATTTGCCTGCTTGTATTCCACCAAGGACTTCCAGATCTTGTTGCGATGGCTTGTTCCAATCTTCATGGCTGACAGATCCTGTGAATATTAAAATGGTGTGCTTATTAACGGGCAGACGTGGATAAAGTGTTTAAGCCATAGGTTATTAATGAAAGACTTCCACTTATAGCAGTTCCTGAGCTTTTAGAGACTCTTTGCTATCTTTTAATCATCTGGTTCATGAAAACACTGATACTACCAGTGAGATCTGTGTGTTGTTCCATGTGAAATTCAACGTAATTCCAACCATATGGTGGTCTGGTGTCTGGTGTAACAATCGAATCTGGACTCGATAAACCAGTGGTTGATGTTATGTGCACATGTAGCAGCCATGGCTGATCAACACATATTTTATAGATGCTTGATTGGCATTTTAAAAGATGCTACTTGATGAACATTAAGAATTTCTGGATTTCATCTTCTTTTTATTCTTTGATACAACGTTTTGGGGCCTGTTCCATCCCCATCATCAGATAAAACTAATGAACAGTAACTGTTAACTGTGCCCCGGACATCACAACACTTTTGAAGTCACAATGTTATGACGATGCAATGTTCATCAAATATTTAATAGTCATGAAATATTTTACCTCATGAGAGAATTCATCGAGCTGGAACATATTTAGGAAGTTCTTTTCGTGGAAATTGTCGATGTAAGCAGAGAGACCAATAGAATTCAACCATCTGAAAAGGAAGCAAATCCTCAATGAAAACAGCAACTCCGGTAATAAAAAGAGGTGTACACTTTACAAGGATTTGCTGTAGAATAAATAATATGATCAAAGAGGCGCAAAACATTTGCACACATGTGGACAGTGGAAGCCTTTCAAGGCTTCAGCCACGTGGCAAACGAGTCCGTATAGAGACCTCACCAGAGTCACCAATATTCCAGCAGTCGGTAAATAGTTTGAGTCTGGACAAGGCAAACCCGGGACTGATCCACTGGCTGAGTATGATGAAACACAACCACACAGCACGGTACGACCAGCAGTGGGTACTGGGCCCTGGTCCACACAGCACGGTACGGGACCAGCAGTGGGTACTGGGCCCTGATCCACACAGCACGGTACGACCAGCAGTGGGTACTGGGCCCTGGTCCACCATACAGCACCGTACGACCAGCAGTGGGTACTGGGCCCTGGTCCACCACACAGCACGGTACGACCAGCAGTGGGTACAGGGCCCTGGTCCACCATACAGCACCGTACGACCAGCAGTGGGTACAGGGCCCTGGTCCACACAGCACGGTACGACCAGCAGTGGGTACAGGGCTCTGGTCCACACAGCACGGTACGACCAGCAGTGGGTACAGGGCCCTGGTCCACACAGCACGGTACGACCAGCAGTGGGTACAGGGCCCTGGTCCACACAGCATGGTACGACCAGCAGTGGGTACAGGGCCCTGGTCCACACAGCACCGTACGACCAGCAGTGGGTACAGGGCCCTGGTCCACACAGCACCGTACGACCAGCAGTGGGTACAGGGCCCTGGTCCACACAGCACCGTACGACCAGCAGTGGGTACAGGGCCCTGGTCCACACAGCATGGTAGGACCAGTAGTGGGTATTGGGCCCTAGTCCACACAGCACCGTACGACCAGCAGTGGGTACTGGGCCCTGGTCCACACAGCACCGTACGACCAGCAGTAGGTACTGGGCCCTGGTCCACACATCCCCGTACGACCAGCAGTGGGTACTGGGCCCTGGTCCACCAAACAATCTCTGTGCTCAGGCAGCACAACTCAAACACTTCGACACAGACATAAAATCAACAGCACTAAGATTTCTTTGTTGAGCAGGGACTAGATTTTCAAAGCTTTCTTAGAGAGCTAAGATAGTCGTAAGTGCCATATATTAACATTAAGTTACAACTATCTTAGCTCTAAGAAACCTTCGAAACTAGGCTCAGGTCTCTGGAGAACGTTCTTGAAACCAAGACCTCCAAAATGTTGGGCATAATACCAACTACAACTATGGCACTGGTCTATCATAAAGAGATGTCTACTAACGAGGCCACGGAGTTGTCCACCATGGTCTGTCCGTTGCCCATCACTTCCTCCTTGACGGCAGCCTGGTTAATGACGGCCTCCAGTGCTGCAGGCAGTGTGTCTCCATTCACCTGATTGGTCTGAGAGCTGCTCACGTTGCTGGAGTCGGGGCTGAATGGGAGGCTGGCTTGGTGTGGCGTCTCGGCTGGCTGAGCGATGTGTTCGTTGCTAGGGATGGAGATGACGTGTGGTTGGCTTGGGCTGAAAACAAACCATACATGAATGGGATGGTTGGAATAGTAGGTTAGTTACATGTTGGCTAAAGTCTTGGACTGACACAAAGGGACACTATATAATATGTCTATAAACCTCAGTTAAAACCACTAGCATAGATAAGCTGACAAATGAAGGATAATTAACAGCTTGGATCTGGAACCAAATGTCACAGATCTTTCTGGACCCCAGGCCTACAACTGATAGAGTGAGTGGAAGTGAGTGAGTGAGTGAGCGAGCTAGCTAGATTTTACTGCGCTTTTAGCAATATTCCAGCAGTCACGGGCGGGGACACCAGAAATGTGCTTCACACATTGTACCCATATAGGGGAATAGAACCAGGGTTTTCGGCGTGACGAGCGAATGCTTTAACCACTAGGCTACCCCACAGCCCCCACATGACGTGAGGTCCCTAGATATGTTCAATGAAGGGCATGGAACTAATGTGGTGTGTAGTTTTCTAATGAAAGTGATGCAAGTATTGTACATTTCCTGGATTCTATCTATCCATCATGCTGCCACCAGTCGGTGCTGGTGTGAAACTTGTTACAAAACCTCATCGTCATCATCACTGACTAATCATTAACAGCATGATGTCAATCTCCTTTCCCCAATCCTTTAAACCGTGGCATATGAAATACTAAAATAGAGCTAAAACCTGTTCACCTGCATATCCTCATCCAATGGTTGTGGAGCTGACTCAGATTAAATGTCAAACTGTGATGTTTTTTATGGGAGCGCCTATTAGTTTCATACATACAGGATGTCCAGTCAATTTCGGATACATATTTGGGGTGACAACAGACACTTCCTCGAGCTACCTCCAGGAACTGAATGTGGTTTCATATGCAAGGTATGGAGCAGAGCTACCGTGGCCTGTCTAGGCAAGACAGCGGACTTCATACATGAACTCAATTCGTTCTTCGTGGTCACTAGAATCTAAGATTTACGATTATTTTCTGAGTGAGATAAGCAAAAAGTACAAGTCATGCACTGATGCAGTAGTGTAAGTTTGCCAAGGCCTATTACGACACTATCATTAGGCTACATGCTGCTTGGTAACATGTTATATTTCGGATTACTTTCTTAGTTAAGTAAAGATTCTAGTACTTTTTCTGTACTTTACTAATAAATATAGCTTATCACGCGAGAGTTTTTGGGGATGGTTAATATCCTGCATTAAGAATAATCATTGTATTTAGCGAGCCTTATGCTAAAGCACGTATTGTTGTCAACAAATCCTAGCTTATGTTTGAAAAAACCCAACAAACTCACGTGGAACTTCAGAAACCTTCAATTAACCTTTTGAACAACCAAATACACTTTAATGTTAGCGTGACACTGTGCACCGTTCTCTCACTAACACTGACAGTCGGTCGGGGAACTGATTTTGGTATCTTCGTAAGCCTATGAATTTCTATCTTCGCTTTGTAATCTACTCTACCTATCAAAACCAGGCATGAATTTTCTGGGATCAAAGCACTGACAGTACCGTAACCACGGCCGTTAATCCGGACACGACCGCCGACCCTTGACGCCATGTTTGTTTACACTGTGAAAGCAGTCACTGAAATTTGCATATGACCTCTCTAATTTGCATCGATATCCGTATATGACCCCAACGGATACCGAAAATATCTGTTGGCTTTATCCAGCCGAGAACACTATCCATTGTATGATAAAGTGTAATCCCAAATATAACACGCTACATTTGACCACTTAAAGTAATGGCATTGTGTATTCATATTTATACGCTGCTCTGTTCACAATGTAGTGTTGTTGTTTTTTGTTTCAATGAAAATATGATTTAAATGTTTAATTTCTTGATATCAAACAAAGTATTCATGAATAAATATTTGTATGCATTACGATATATTTGTAAAACATGTTGTATTCTCTTCATAGTGTATTCACTGCAGACCTATTTCTGGCATGTCTCAGGAAAGTCATTCATGACAAAACGAATCACTGGGCCACACGTCCAAGAAGAGAAATCTGCAAGTTCTGATATGAGTTTTATTGGCAGTGAATTTTGTTATAAATAATCTACATACATACTATGGTGATCAACAAGGTATTATGTCCATGATTAATATAAGATAACAACAAATTGTAAGGCAGGATGGCGGTGTCAAGTCCCATGGTCCACGCCACTGCCATAAAATGACACAAGTTCTACATCTCACAAACATAGTACCTCACAACTGTCATCCAATGCATCGAATAACGTAACTGTCTGCACTTTATGCATGGAGTAAAGAAAGCTTCCTAGCCAGAACATCGACTTTCTGAATTTAACACATTATGGCCTTAACAGGACTTACAACACAATCACATAGATCTATCTAGGTACAATTTCCAAATAGGCATTTACAGAGATCAGATTCTCAGAGTTTCATGGATTCTGAAGTAAGCTGTGAAAAAAGTATGTTTTTTCAAAAAGGGATGTTTGTTCTATAAATTCCTATTTTCTTCATTGCTCATAATTAAGTATTCAACTATTTAGGCAAAATGAAGCTTTCAAGCTTCTTCCTGCTTTTTGGTCCCTACAATCATGGGATAAGCAGGCCCACCAACACCACCACAAGACAATCCTGGGATAAGCAGGCCCACCAACGCCACCACAAGAGATACAACTATTAACTGGAATTTCGAAACACTTTTTAATTCCACTTTGGTACTTGTTACTGACAAATGGTGCAGACTGAGTCCAATGGCTGCTTTTAAACAGGTCTTGATAGATCCTGGGATATGAGATATACTGATAAATACTTATTAAAAGGTGTTATTAGATGTTACCCAAAGGTAAGACCATCAGAGTGAGTGAATGCCGTCAGAAGAATACTTCAGTTATACCACAGCGCCAAATTTCATCTCCTCAACAAACGCCTCAAGTTTGAATTCTGGCTTCTCATTAACCAGGGATGCTTCTTGGCGACAATATCTACACTATTAGGAAACAAATTGACTTCTTTTTATACGATTTCGATTGAAATAATTTGTCTGATCATCATGGATGCTTTTTGTTTTATTTCACAACAGGAGAAAAACCTTTCAGTGATGATCTGTGGAGTATCATGTTCATGAATGGACATGTTCGGCTACAAGCACCTGCTGTTAAGTTATAACTTGGAAAATATATTCTTGAAATTCCTTCCACATGTTACACATCTCTCACATGTGCCATTCTCAGGAATTGGCATAAAACATCTGATGAGGATGGAGAGAAGTCAGTGGAGTTACCTCCCTTTAGTCCCTAACCCTTCTTGGTCAGGAAGCTTGAATGATGTTCACAGGACGGAATATACTACCATATGACATATTGTTAGAGTAAAGGTAAAAGTTCAGTTTACTCTTAAATAAATATAAAAATGATACACAAAGGATGTTTATCACAGACTACAAAGACAACATGGTATAAAATAAGATCTATCATAGCAACAGAGCTAGATAGTTCCACAATCCAAAACAAAATTTCAGGCATCTGAAAATCTTTCAAATTTGACTGAACCACCTTGCACTTTAGTGTACATACCGCTTACACAGTGGTTGGATGAGAATGTCACACAATATGTGGAATATCGGGGTATGGATATGTGAACCCGTTTAAACGATGACATCACATGGATGAAATACAAAACAAACACTTGTACTTCAAGAATGCAAATCTTGAACATGGCTACAGAGTAGAAATAAATAAGTACAGGACTTCAATGTAAAACTCGAGACATCTAAAATATATATACAGTCAGGCCGCGTTAGTCCGGACCCTGATAATCCAATTCCTGCGATATCCGAACGGCAGCTAACTGTAACCAATCTAGTTTACTATGTAAACTGTTGATTCATTAATCCGGTGCTTCACTCTCTGGATCCGGAAGTTAATTAGGGTATACAGATTAGCTAATTAAACTTGGTTTTATTTCATTAATCCGGCGGTACATCAAAAAGGTTTGGATAATCCCCCTACCTCATGAGCAACATTGATTAGCGCTGATCTTCATCGGGAAACTTCAATGGTGATTGATAAGTGAGGTGACACTTCCGAGTTGAACATGTCTTTGTGATTTTAATCAATTCATAGGTCTCACTTGTGCAAACACAACTGGCACAATCAAAATTAAGCCATTTGTCATCGCCAAGTCCACACGTACCAGATGTTTTGGAAGAGACTTAAACCCAGAAATGTATGTCCGCTATCGGTTCAACAATAAAGTGTGGATGACATCAGACATGTTATGTGATTGGCTGAAATCTTTTGACAGACAGATGCGATCACGTGGTCGACACCTACTTTGTGACAAGGCTGCCAGTCCCGAGTGTGCCAATGTCAAATTGACCAGTGTGAAAGTTCATTTCCTGCCTCCCAGCACCACTGTCATTGGCGTTTTCCATAAACCCGAGTGAGTTTTTGAGTTTTGATTGTTATAAAAACTGTAATAAAGTCATTGGATACATGTATACGTTATGTTCTTGTCTCGGTATGTCAAAGGGAAGCAACTCTACTGTAGTGGTTTACATAATAGTTAGTTTCAGTAGTCCATATGTTTCACTATCCGAACATTTTTGAAAAAACCCGGAAGTGTTCGGATTAACATGGCCTGACTGTATTTCCATCTAAAAATCTAATGGAAATAAATAGAAAGAAACCAACCAGATCATGGCAAAGCACTGTATCAGACATACAAGCAATCCCTTGTGAGGAATGTAAATACATCTATTCAACCAGGAATAAAATTATTTAACTTATCCAGGCAATAATTAATAATAAATAACAACAACACATCTTTCGCAGATTAATAAATATTGTTAAATAATTCTGTAGATGACATTCATGGTCTAGATGTTTCTACAGAGTAATATCAAGTAAAAAATGTCTGACATCCACAACACAATACAACTAGTAAACATATCGCATTGCAAAACTGGACGGAATGTTTTGACTTGTCATTCTGTGACAAAACATGAAAACAACGCTGATGATACACACTAATACTAACATGATCTGTGCATAGTGATTCTATATATAGCACTCTTCCTCAATGAACGATGTGACCATAAATGATGGCAAAAACCCCTAACTATCGAGGGTATGATTTATGAAAAATAAAATAGAGAACTCTGCCAAAATTATCCACAAGTAACATGCACTGATGCTTAATCAAAGATGTAACAAGTTAATGTTAGGCAGTACTGTACAACAGAAGGATGCAAACGTCATAGCAACAAATGAGTCAATAGACGATGCCCTTGCAAAACATAAATATGTATGATTAGAGTGAAGAAATACTGGCTAAATGACTTCTGAGTCAATGAATGTTTGGAAGAACAATAATCTTTGAATAAATACATAATTTGGGATCCATCAACATGTGTTTACCACTAACCAACCACCCGAACATGGTTATCACACAAGATGCGATCCGTGCTTCCTACTGATTATCTTCACAACACGACGTGTGAGAAACTTAGATTGTTAAATACAACAACAATCTTCACTGTTCCAATTTGGATGACTTCAGTACTTTGGACAAACAAATAGAGACAAAACTGTCATGTTGTCAACCGAACCACAGCATTGGACTACCCCGAGCAGGCTTCTGTTGGCATGTACTGCAGTATCTTGGATGATAAGATACATTTTGTAAGCTATGAGAGTAGGGCTGGCTATCAATATAGATCGTTAACTAAATACCCATCAATTAACAATCAGGCCAGATCAATTTTATTTCTTGTTTTACAGATCCGCGGGTCGTATTTTTTCAAGAATAAGAAAAAATATATATACAATTTAATTTTCCCGGCTCAAAAAATAAAATTCTAATGTTTCATTGGTCAAAACTGTAAATTTACAAGAAAAGTTTTTTAGATTGTGTTTTGCCCCAAATACGCTTCATAAATTGCCCGAAGTAAAATACTTTTAGTATTTTTTATTTTTATTTTTTCCCCCTCCTGCCTTTAGGTTTTCTGAGGACAAAATCCGTAAAACAAGAAATAAAATTGGCCTGGCCTTATCGATCATTTTAGCCAGCCCTACGTTAGAGTTATTGATACTCCATGTAAGCTAAGACTCTGTGGAGAATGGCGATCAATGCTCCATCTTAATCACCCTCCGAGGTTTATGGAGCAACTTCTTCTTCTTGAGGGTGTGCTTGTTTTTACTTTCCTGAGGCAAGACCATCGACAGCCACCTGTAGCCAATTAGAACCTCTCATTAGTGTCATGTGACTATCGCTATGGTAACAGGTGGCTGCCGGTGATCACCGAGGAAAGCTTCAATAATGAGAAATGCTTCAAGAAGGACAAAGTTTGATCGCCATTCTCCAGGACCAGATTATTTGAAAACCTGCAAAACTTGATTCAATGTTGAAAAACCTTTCCTCAATGTACTCACGTGCAACCACCGCAAGGGATGCTAGCTACCATGTAGCGCCATCCTACATTACCAGAAACAAGTCAATGTCCGTATCAAATAAACAAAATCATTATTCATCCAAACAAAGGCTTCATATGCTCCCAAAGGGTGTAATGTTTGTGTGTGTGTGTGTTCCACCTTTTATTTGATATTTTATGTGTCACCAGTGTCTCTCCCTATATCAGCCCCTAGAGAGAGGTAATGGTACATACTGTCTCTCTCCCTATATCAGCCCGTGGAAATGAGGGAATGGTACGTACTGTCTCTGGATTTCTCCTTGCTGTTTCCGGTACAGTTCAACTTGCTGCTGTGGCACCATAGACGACAGTTCTAAGCTGTCCCGAATCTTGCACAAAATCTCATAGTTTTCTCTCCCACGAACCTGTAACATAACACTTAGCTTAAAACAAGCACAATTCAGAAGTACAAAGTCAGAAATATGAAAACTAAGGATTGTTTCACCTTTAGCAGTATCTATTTCACAACGCCGCATGACCTAGTGACGTAAGTCTGCCTGCCACCAGACATTGGTGCTTTCCAAGTTTTCGTCATCAATTTCAAGCAATTCCACTATATCATCAAGCAATTCCACTATATCATCAAGCACTTTGTTATAGCTTTATTGTATGTCTCGTGATGCAGGTGGCACTTACAGTTAACGAGTACGCATCTTCCTCTAGTAACTTCCGCTTCTTCCCCTGGGCCACGGTTATTTCTGTTCCGACTGTAAGTTTTGTCAGCTGAGGCACTGCAACATGGGGAACATCACATCCATCATACACGTAATACTCTACCATAGATGCAATTACAGAGGAAAAATGAATGAACTGATTATTTTGTGTTTAACTTGGCTGTGTTCGGGACGTGGCGGAAACACCCAAGAGCCCCTGCACATGCAGCAGTCAAGCGAACCCATCTGACCCAGCAGCGTTAGTCTCTCACCGGCCGGCGGGACAACGACCTCCCACCCACCCGGCTCAAAGACTTTTAGTGTGTCAGCCTTTCTCTTTTAATTTTGTGATACTCCTTGTTTTTAATGTGTACTCCTTTTAAAGCAGTTTTCACATGTTTGTATATGTTAGAGGTGTATTTTAAATATATATGTCTATAGTCGTCAACTAAAATTGACATTTACCCCCAACATTGTCGTGTGATATGTTTGCATGCGAATGAAGGAAGAGTTAAAAACTAACATAAAAGAATGTACATGGTATAACAGCGAGATGCATATGTCACATGTACATCTGAAACATAATTTTTGTACTTGCAAGTAATCAGATGCTATTCCTACTTGACATGACTGACAGTTTACTACACTTTCGTTAAACTAATCTCCGATTGATGGACCCAAGGGGTAGCGGGTTAGAACGTCCCGAGCAACCTAATCTGGTCATTCAATGAGTGAGTGAGTGAAGTTTTACGCCGCACTCGGCAATATTCCAGCTATACGGCGGCGGTCTGTAAATAATAGAATCTGGACCAGACAATCCAGTGATCAACACCATGAGTATCGATCTGCGCAATTGGGAACCGATGACATGTGTCAACCAAGTCAGCGAGCCTGACCACCCGATCCTGTCAGTCGCCTCTTACGACAAGCATAGTCGCCTTTTGAGGCAAGCATGGGTTGCTGAAGACCTATTCTACCCCGGATCTTCACGGGTCTCTGGTCATTGAAGGCAACTTCACAGACCTTCACTAAAAGGCCTCCTGATTTTGTTGATTGGGTGTACTTGTACCCCGGGGGTATGCTCTCAGTATCAATCACTGCATTGTCTGGTTTACAGGCTGCTGTCAGGAATGACTATGAGCACATCGTAAAACAACAACCAGACATACTTCATGACATATTTACAGTTTCTCCAGTCACAACTAGATTCACTATGAATCCAAAAACCTGTAAAGACTGATAGACTGATTGGTGACTAGACTCACCCTTTTTGGGGGACTGTTTACAGGTAGGTGGTAATGCTGCCTTTTCATCGGCTTTCCGATCCCTCCCCGGACAGGCACAGATCCTGACCTCGACTGCCCGTCTGCCAAGAACCTTGCCCTCATGCTCCAGAGTGAACACAATCTGTATGGGTCGTCTGTTGGGGCCTCCCACACAGGAGCCCAAGCACATGAACTGGAAGAGGTTGGTCACCCACTCAGAACCTGCCTGCGGGATTTCGTGGGGGATGATGACGCTCTGACGACTTGTGTAACTGTCCTCGTGGTATCTGGCTAGTTTGTGTTCACAACGCACTAGGTGGGTGGGAGCAGGATGACTTTCGTTATGCTCCTTCGATGTGGCGTGATTGGGGCAGCGTTTTACCACCTCTTGGACGTGTTCTGGCTTCATGAAAATGGGCATTGCACGGATTATGGTTCCTACTGGGGGTGTCCTCTGCGCCCGGAATCGAACTGGACATGTGGTGGCCATTCTCACGTACAGCTTCTTCAGTGATTCAGAGTACTGGAAAAAATTATACCATAACTTCAAACAAAGTGTTGACATAATTGGTCAACATGCAACGAGGCATGGAGTCATAAGGACCTTGTCTGTCTGCAGAGAGAGAGAGAGAGAGAGAGAGAGAGGGAGATGTTGGGAGAATGGGATGAAGGAAGGAAGGAAGGAAGGAAGGAAGGAAGGAAGGAAGGAAGGAAGGAAGGAAGGAAGGAAGGAAGGAAGGACTGACTGACTGACTGAGTTTGGTTTTACACCGCTTTTAGCAATATTCCAGCAATATCACGGCGGGGGACACCAGAAATGGGCTTCACAAATTGTACCCATGTGGGGATTCGAACCCGGGTCTTCGGCGTGACGAGCCAACGCTTTAACCACTAGACTACCCCACCGCCCCAAGGAAGGAAGGGAGGAAAAAACAAAACAAAAAGAATTAGAGGGGAGAAGATGGTCAGATTGTTTGGTCAAGTGGACAAAGTGTCTGGCCTCTCATGAGAATAACCGAGAATCTCATTGTCGAACTTGGACAATCTATGGCTGCCACACATGCAAACATCTTGTTTCGAGCAGGGCTCCAGATAAGGGTTGTATCGGCGTATGTACAGATATAAATTAAACATGATACGGTAGGAAATAATTAAGAAAACGTAGCAGATACGCACAACAGCAATGGTGTATGGTTTTAGAATCATTTACAGACGTATGTATCTGAAAAGTATTGTTTTATTGTTTATTGTCCTGTTTACACAACTGACTGACTGAGTTTGGTTTTACGCCGCTTTTAGCAATATTCCAGCAACATCACGGCTGGGGACACCAGAAATGGGCTTCACACATTGTGCCCATGTGGGGATTCGAACCCGGGTCTTCGGCGTGACGAGCCAACGCTTTAACCATTAGGCTACCCCACCACCCCTGTTTACACAAGAGTAGCAATGTTGTGGTGCATATATGAAACAAAACACAAGATTACTGATACTCCATTAAATTCCATTCAGTACTCTAAATGTACTCTTAAGTTTTTCCAGAACTCCTATATTGAAAAAATAAGGAATACGTACTCCTGGTGTTGAAAATTATCTGGAGCCCTGTCTGAGCATACATTGTTTTTCAATGCAGAACACAGCTACGGTTTAGAGGTAATTCTGTTCATGCAGGTATGTTCTGCCTCGGCAAAGATGTAAGGTAAATTTGGGTGATGCATGCCTTGTCAATACTCACTGTCCATGTTGTGGATTTTGTTTCTTTGGATGGTTGAGCAAAACTGATTTCAAAGTTGAAGTCCCCAGGATAGTTGGTGCTGGAGGAGACATCACAAGTGTTACATAGTTTGTGGGGGAAAGGAACCAGTGCATAAAAACATGAAACAATCTAATATTCATAAATTTTGTACAAGTATTTCAACTGTACTTCAAATTCAACGCTGACGGCAATGTAACCTATCAAGATATTTTATCATATCACCTACTACATGCTGTGTGAAAAGCTGAGCCACTCCACCACGAGGACATGTTTGTTGATATATCTAGCACACTGTGTTACAATACTCACTCTCATCCTGGCACAGTGCCAGCAACACACTCAAGCCTTGGTATCCTGGTACAGACAGGTGAGAGGTCGGGTGGTGGCCCCACAATGTGATCCCCGACAGTTACAGGTCGGGTGGTGGCCCCACAATGTGATCCCCGACAGTTACAGGTTGGGTGGTGGCCCCACAATGTGATCCCCGACAGTTACAGGTTGGGTGGTGGCCCCACAATGTGATCCCCGGCAGTTACAGGTTGGGTGGTGGCCCCACAATGTGATCCACAACAGTTACAGGTTGGGTGGTGGCCCCACAATGTGATCCCCGACAGTTACAGGTTGGGTGGTGGCCCCACAATGTGATCCCCGACAGTTACAGGTTGGGTGGTGGCCCCACAATGTGATCCCCGACAGTAACAGGTTGGGTGGTGGCCCCACAATGTGATCCCCGGCAGTTACAGGTTGGGTGGTGGCCCCACAATGTGATCCACAACAGTTACAGGTTGGGTGGTGGCCCCACAATGTGATCCCCGACAGTTACAGGTTGGGTGGTGGCCCCACAATGTGATCCCCGACAGTTACAGGTTGGGTGGTGGCCCCACAATGTGATCCCCGACAGTTACAGGTCGGGTGGTGGCCCCACAATGTGATCTCAGTTACAGGTGTAAGTAGGAAGTTGGCAGCTTCACCTGGTTGAACTGTGTTGTGGGTAACACCTCCTTGTACAAAAATGTACAATATTATCATGCAATCATTCTCCATAATGCAGGACCGAATTTTGAAGACAGCTTGCACCCATTACCCGGCTTGCCCCGGCAGACAGGTGCCCCTCCCTGTACTTACTTTGATGGCACTGTGGGAGATGGAGACTGCATGTTGGTGTGAGGTGAATATGGTGGGGGTGACGTGACAACCTACAAATCAAATGCACAACAAACATAAGTACTTGCTGTGATCATAGTGACAAAACAATCAAAACGTTTTATCAAGCAAGTGAACATGCAAAACTTGACTCCTCAGAAAGACTACGATGAGGCGACTCTTCATTGTCCGACATTTCTCCGCTGATGCTTCATCATGTGATCACAAACATAAGAATTATCTCACTACACGAACATCAAGGCTGGGACTTACTCCATCATGGTAGGGGCTTGACGCAGAGCTGCCGATGATCTGTGTCTGAGAGTCTGGGCTCATCCCAGAGGCAGTGGTTGTTTGAGCGATGATGGGGTTCAACTGAAACAACAACACAACATTAGTGGTTGTTTGAGCAATGATGGGGTTCAACTGAAACAACAACACAACATTAGTGGTTGTTTGAGCAATGATGGGGTTCAACTGAAACAACAACACAACATTAGTGGTTGTTTGAGCGATGATGGGGTTCAACTAAAACAACAACACAACATTAGTGGTTGTTTGAGCGATGATGGGGTTCAACTAAAACAACAACACAACATTAGTGGTTGTTTGAGCAATGATGGGGTTCAACTGAAACAACAACACAACATTAGTGGTTGTTTGAGCGATGATGGGGTTCAACTGAAACAACACCACAACACTACAGCGATGTCTTGGAACACCCAAAAACCAGATCAGGTATAAGAAACACATTTACAAAACAGCATCTTTTTCAGCAGAATTTAGTGTAAGTGTATGTATTGCTATACGCTGCCCACAGCCAGTGTGGTTATGCTTGTGTGGAGATATGGCTCACTTGCCAAGGTGAGTACTTGTATGTACAAAGTACCCAGGATAACAGGGGTTAACTTATTCCACAACATAGCCTAAGACAGGATGTCTACATAACCTTGTTCTTGTCAATGCCAATCATAAGAAAGAAAAGCAATTTTTCAATGGCAGAATATTTTAAGATTTTTCATAAAAAATATTATGAAATATTTGTACATACAAATCATACACAACAAATCCATCACCACGGTTACAAATGCATGTGATCGTGAGAGGCAGATAATCTGATAAATGTGGTACACTTTAATGAACACACTGAGTGCCTCAATTAAGTTGACATCAGAGATGCTCGTTGTAATAAACTACAGAGCATGTCCCAGCAAGCAACATCCACCCCAACTGTGTCACCCTAACCTTCACCACCAGCCCTTATCTGTTTACTTATATCTAATAATAGTCTTCTAATAGTCCTCTAATAACAGTCCATGGATCATCAGATCATGCAGGAACAATACTTGTACATAGAGTCTTCACTCTGCCCTTGCTCAAGGATCACCTGGAATTGTCCTGTGGTAGGCTGACGGACAACTGGGACACAGGTTTCTGTCTAGCTATGACCTCACCACACAGTGGTAGTGGTCTAAATATAGTGCTGTTGTCATGATGACATGTATATGTTGAACACTGATGACACACAGGGAAGGGTGGTATTGAAATATGCTGCTCACTCTGTACATTCTACGTGATGACAGCTGCCATGTCTTAATTTATTGATGTGCATATATACATCCAAGGTGTAGGGCATACTTGCTGATAGTCGATCTACTGGGATGATATAACATCAGTGATTTCTTAAACAAACCATTGCAATTTTAAGTAAATCAAACAGCTTAAATCAATGACAAATATTTTCATACCATCAATGACATGTTTTCAGTGGGATACTTTAACCACCTCACAATTTGTGTGATTAAACCTTTCACATGGTACGTAGCAATGAAAAAGGGACATGTATTTTATAGTCTAAATGGCTTCTACGTTACTGTAGATTCACATTCCAGTTTATATCTGTCAGGTATCACAATCAGTCAGTTCTCCAAAACAATCTGTAACATTATCTACTTTGATTAAAGACTTGTCAAATGGACCCAACTACATTAATCCCTATACACTGAAATTAAGACCAGGCTTGCTACATATACAACAACCATGCACGTTTCCCCTGCCCGATCGCCACCATGTGGGAAGTGTTGACACCATGCATGTTTCCCCTGCCCGATCGCCACCATGTGGGTAGTGTTGACACCATGCAGGAGGTAGACCTACATCTGTCCCACCTAGTCACAACACAGCATAACTGCACTAATACTCTAAGTCTTTAGTAATTGCATAAGGTCCCATGTTGGAGTGATCAAGGGCTTAGTCCAAGCAAGTCCTATTGCCAAGGGGCCTATTGTTGCCTGCACAATACCCCAGACTATAAGCATTACACCAACACAGAGATCATGGACTCCTTGTTACATGGTAAGCCCTGACAACACTCATTCCAAGTCAACTCCACTGAAAAGAAACTCCAATCAATTATTCAAAATGTTTCCAAAGGGAGTACTTGTGATCAAAACAATTGATGAAGCGGTTCTTCGCAGGCGATGCAGGTATTGAGCTATATTTAGCCATCGGCTTTTCCTAACGATTTCAGGTAGATGCCTGGAGACTGGCCTGGGAAAATTGATTCTGTAGATACGGAGTCTGGTTCTACCTGCTGGAACAGGCCTCGTTAAGATCACGCCAGACAATGGCTTCAACTAGTGCTAAAAGACCAAGTGGTTTCTGACTGTACTGAAACATTTATCAAGGCCAACTTTGTTGTCAACAGCACCACAAAGATGACAACTGGCTCTGTTTAATACGCCATCTCCTTCACCAGCAGTATATCACTTGATAAAGTTATCCTCCAATACCTAGCTCCGTTACCATGAGTATATCTCTTAACATGATGTTTTGTTTAGGTGTTTCAATATTAATTGTTAGTTTAAAGAAAGGAATACAACCTTGCCTTTCACCTCGACAACAGACGGCATGGCTCACATGTTCCTATACTGATAGTACCAAGTCTGCTATCTTTCACAACATAAATATCCACAGGATATCACTGATTTGTGACAGCTAACTCAGGGGAATTATTTTCCATGGATAATTTCAAAACAACATATTGATACCCAGTTGACACTGACTTTGTTTTCAGACAATAAGTAAACAAAACAAAACAGAACTGATGACAATATTTCAGTGTGATTCTTATAACCCTGACACACTCATTCCAGTACCAATACATACTGAGAAATATTTACACTCAACAAAAACAAGGAACTAATCAAGTTCAGCATGTTGTCCAGCCATGTTTACATTAGAAAGTTGACTTTCGACACTAACAACACTGAGGCCATGATTGTGAAGGTTACAGGAGTCTCTCTACAACAAGGAGTGTAGTAGAACAGCCCAGGAAACCACCAGCGTGGTTACAGTTTCACAGTCCTTGTTACTACATGTATACACACTGGCAGTGTGATTGGCTCTGGTTTAAACACTCACCCGGTATGTGGTGAACCCTGTACGCTCCACTTTTATCATTCTGGACGGAATAGGATGACCAAATCCTCACGATAGCAGCTCAAATCAGTAGTAGAAATTGTTATATTTACTTCATCACACTATGTCATAGGCCAGTAATGGTAGAATTTCTGTGCGCGTATTTCAGGAACAAGCCTAATCTTGCCCAGCCTGCTACCAAGTGCTAGCATGTCGCTACATGCTCCGACATAGGTAAGTGGGGTAGGATTTATTATGATAATCAGTGACCTCACGGCTGGCTCGCTACACAATGCTGGAAGTGGGACAGCAAATAATATCGCAGTTCACTTGATCAAAGGGCTGGGACTGTGACGGTATTCAGTGTCGCCATGGCAACTCCAGGGAAGCGTTGTGTGCGTGGTTTTATTTTTAGCAGGATTGGGTTGGGGGAAGGGAGAGAATTACCTGTCAGGTAGTTAGGAGACAATAGCGTGTGTAAAATGGCTGGGATCAATTAACGTGATTATCACAAGGCTGTTTGGTTGGATTACTCAGGCACGCAAACATGGTTTAGAAAATAAACGCATTTAAACAAAGGGATAGGTTATCTCTTTCACACCTTTCTCATCACTAACAGTTGGGTTGGTTCAGTAGTATTTCAGAGAATTCAGGAAGTACTTCAAGCACCTGTTCACCTCATTTAGTAATCTTTTTATGGTGTTTACAGAGAAGCATCTGGCCAACCAGGTGTTGTTTGTTTCACCTGTAGGGACATGCACTGCAGTGTCATGTGAATCTGATTGGTAACAGGTATATCCCGACAGGTATATCCCTTCAACACTAGTTCAACACTGCACAAAGTTTAACAACGGACACACAGTGGAATGTAACTAAGATTCTGACAAAAGTACTTGTGGCTTGCAAACTTTGATGTTATTCTTATTTTATTAAAATTGTGACTTTTTAAAGGTTATCTTCAGAGAAATTAGGATAAGACTTAAAGTGTCCAGTTATCAGAGAAATCCAGGTTACCTCTATGAAGGCATGACATAGCATCGTCACCAGACTGTCAATTGTATCACGCACGTTAGAGGGCCTACTTACAGGTGCTAAATGGCAGGTTTAGATAAATCCTTGCAGCAAAGAACTGCACAACTGTATATTTCACCTACACTGCATATATATCCCCATTGAGTAAACATTAATTCATTAGAGAATACAACCACTATCCCCATACACATTTACAAACACCCCCATAAATAAATATATAAATAAATAAAAAAATTAAAAAAACATGGCTGGACTTGGCAGATCATCAATAAGTACATTTTCTTAAACTCCAGAAACAACAACAAAAAGAACATCTGTCAAATCACAGTAGTACTCCCGATATGCAGAAATAAACACTTAGAATAACGTGGAGAAATTTTACAGAAAGAAAAATTAAACAGCAACGTATGTGTAATAAAAGTCTACAGATTCATATTTTGCAAATTGACTGCCTTTTGAGAATCCCATTTTCATGATAGTACGGCCTTCTTGTAGACAGTGAGGAGTAATGTGATACTTCTCGTCCTTGCATTGATCGGGGAACAATAACATAATTGGAAACCAGGGACGAGAGGCCCTTTGTTCTCCTCCATATACAGGGCTCCATTGATTGACACACAAACATCTCGATAACTTAATCAATTTTCAGCTATCCCCTTCTGAACTTCATTGGTTGGGAATATAAATGTGGCAGACAGTCCTAATTTGCACTGGTCACACAAGACACTGGAGCAATATTGACCAATCAATTACAGTAACAGTCAGTTTAAAGCGAAATGTGAAATAAGAATATGAACAGATTTATAAAAACAACTTTTTATAAAATTCATGGATAGCCCTTAACAAACCTGTTCTTGGATTTGCTTCCATTTCAAGAAATGACAAGATATTGTCATTTCCAAATCTCCAAGTGGGAACTCTAC